TCGACATCGAAATGATACAACTTTTTGACGAATTTTCGACATCGTTTTGACATAATTTCCACGTTGAATCAATCATTTAAGTATATCTAATTGAATACTTTTTTGAAATTTTTAAAATTATTTTAAATAATCCCAGCAAACACCAAGTTACAGTTATATAATTGTTAGTTGTAATTTCTCACTCAACAATATAATTTTTTATATAACACGCGTTATATAACTTAACTTGGTGTTTGCTGGGATTCTTGATTCGAATATTAGTAATAAATAATTAGTTTACAATAAAATTAAAGATAACTCTACTAAAAAAGAAAATATGTAAAGAATAATCGTATAAGAATACATATCACTTTTTTATTTTTATATATATATATATATAGACATAGATATTACATATACGAATAATAAAAACAGAATTCTATCGCAAATTATGTATCATGTAAACATAAGTTTTATAAAATTAAAAAAAAATTATGTTAGATGCGACATTTAAGGGTGTATATCAGTTGGACACGGGGCAATTGGACACAGTCCAATCACAAGTCGCTGTTCCAAGGGACCCTACAAATGTCTCTAATCACACGGTGCTGTGATTGGCTGTGTCCAAATGCACCGTGTCCAAGTGCACCGCTCCCGTTATTTAAAAAAAGCTTTCTATAATTTCGGTTTAAATATTTATAATTATTAAATTAATAAAAAAATAATAAAATCGAAATTTAAATTGGTAATGTATACTGAAAAATTCTTTAAATTAAAGAAACATTTTGTTAAATATAATTTCTTAACTTAAAAAAGTATTGCTAGATTTTAGAAAATATGTAATAAATATAAAGTAATATTTTTTTAAATTTGTGATATGAGCTGTAAAATTATAAATTTCTAGAAAAAAATGACTTTCTTATAAGAAGAAAATTAGTTTTTTTTATATAAGAACTATGTTTAAATAAATATTTGCTTGTTTTAAAAGTAAATAAAGTACAAATAAATTATTTTATAAATCTAAATAAATTATTTTCTAATATTAAAA